GTTGCTATATCAAATACTAACGTAGTTGCAACTATTACATCATTATCAATAAATGCTTGCGTCAGTACCTTGAGGCCACCAGATCCATATGCATCACTTTGATAAATGATTGTGCATGAAGTCCAATTAAATCGAATAAATAGTTGTACAATTGCGGATGCGGCCGCATAGTCTGAAGGAACTGTACGATAAAAAACAGGATAAGCATTTCGATCAGATAAATCAGGATCTGTTGCACCAAATGATATAACAGGAATACCAACTCTTTCCCCAAAACTAGCAATAATAGGACTTTCTCTTGACAATACTGGACCCACGATACCAACTATGTTAGATGTAGATATTGCGTGACATGTACTACTCACAGCATTTATTGCTTTACCATCAGTTTGTACAGCTTCCCATCCTATGAATTGTTCGTCAATTGTTATATTATATTGTTGAGAAAGTATAACTGCTGCTTTGAACATAGCACTAGAATGAATAACTAATTCTGAACGTTCCGATGTATTCACTGAATCAGGAAAAAGGCCCAATAGTTTTATAGCGGAACAGTTTAATAAGGGCCAAGTTGCTCTTACATATTGTTCATTAAGTTGTCCAAATGTAAAGAGTAAAAAAAACCATCGAAGACTCCGCAATAACACCATTGTGATCTAATTTGATTGCAGATAGAATGGTCGGATTGAATGTATAAGAAAACAAATTATACTAAAATTTAAACATGATAGAAATTGTCAAATTAAGTAATTCATGAATAGGTAGCTTATCATTACTGATGACAGCAGGTTAAAACATAGACTTCACATGAGAAAAATAATGTGCTATTTTCTGGTACAAATATCAGAAAATTACCATCCTACTATTCAGAGCTCGAAACGCATTGAAAAATTTTAATTCAAAGTCAATTCAATCCGATGAATGAAGAGCATAAAAACAAAAAATATTAATATTTCTTCTCCAAAATATTTTGTTCAATCAATAACTTTCATATAGTTTATATCGATGAAATTTGAACCAAAATACTCTTCGACATAAAATTCTTCAGAATTCTAGATGTTGTTTTCAAATACGTACCTATTTCAGAGCGATTCCATGGAATGGTAAACATTTTTTGAGCAAATTTGCCAGAAAATTTTTATTAGAATTAGAGAAAAAAAACAAGAAATAAAATATCGATTCATAAGTCTGATGATATCAGCACGATATTGACAAATTTAACTTGTGTCATCTGTATTTGTCAAGTATTATTCTCAATGAAATAATATTCATATTAGTTTCACTAGTCACAATTACATATTCAAATGGATAAATTCATAAACTGTAGTCTAATAGATAGAGTTTATTTAACAAAAAGCCAGAGATGGTAATAAATTCATTCTCATTATTCTCTTTAGTTGTGTGAAAGGAACGTTAAAATTTTTCAAAAAGTAGCAATACTACGAAAGTTTCAGTTTGACTAGATTTCAGAGTTACTGCTTGCAATGCGGCATGATCTTTTTGATAACTCTAGTAATACTCGATTTTGGTAATGAGTTATGTTATTTTGATATTGAAAACAACTACATCAAGATTCGTCAATCTCAATACGACTAATTTCCCTTTGTAGCTTTGCATCTTTGTCAATTATCTGACGCCAATAGAATGATGAATAACAGAAAGTCGCATGAATAGAGAAAGCTAAGAAACAACATACACTAATGCGATTAATTGAGTCCTTAAATGAGATGTTTTTTTTCCTAAAGGAAAATGATGTTTCAATTTTACGAAATTCAAGGTAGAAATTTTTGTCACTGTAGAGAAAAAAATTCTCTCTGCTATGGAAGCACTTATTAGTACGATTGGATGATTGGTTTGAAAATTGTTTTTTTTTAATAATTACGCAGCAATCGACTTCGATCATATGAACAGATACGTTTAATAGACTAAGTTGCCATGGGCGCTACAAAACTCAACTTCTCCGACATCTATAAAGTTGTTCAATCTATTTTTTCGAACGAAATACTTATCGAGAAAAACTCGTATGTTTATTATGTTACAGAGCACAACAACCTTACGTGTGATCATACTTACATTCTTCTTAATCAGTCTTAACTTTAATTTTTAGTTAATGGTAACGAAGTACCTCGATAGATACCTATTTACTTGTAACTAGGGAATTAAACGTTACTCGTTCGGTATTAACTTCATAGATTCTATTTATCTGGTTATTAGTAAGTAGGTAAATTAATAACTTCTATTTAACTATTTAACAATAAAGAGATAAATAAAATTTAACATCTTAATAGTTAAGCAAATGTTTAAGTACTGCCACTTATTCTACTAGCAATCATGTAGTTAGAAACTTTCAACTTGCACAAACGACATACTTTTCTCATTTACGACATGGTTCGATAAACTCTTAACTTTAATATGTTGATCATATCTTACAGGTAATTTCAACATGCTGCACATAAATGAGCATGACTAAGAGGAAAAAAATTTTGTTGGGAATTTTTTTAACTTATACGAACGGCATACATGTATGAGATATTCGTCATGAGCCGTGAAGAAAATTTCAGTTTTGTGGAGTTTATCATGTTTATTAGTTGTTTATGAATCTTAGTTATACAATCAAAACGTGATATATTAATGAGTGTTTATATAGAGAAATTGTTCGATACACATCACGCAGTCGTTAGAATTGGTTCCTATAAAACGGATTGTTCAGACATTTAACTGATTTTACACCATCTTAATTTAGGCGAACATTATTTTGCTAATATTTATGAAAAACAAATTGGCTAAAATCAAAGCTGTATTTCAAAAATTCTTCTATGTAAGCTTGTAACCTAGGCGACCTAATATCCAAAGAAAAAAAAACTTAAAACTAGTAAAGTTGGGTTTCAGCATAATAAAAATACGTCAAAACAGAAAGTGGTTTTCCACTGAGGAATCATGATTTATTTGTTGTTATTTTCTTTTCCGTCAGCAAAAATATGCACTATTTGAGGAAAAAAAAAGCCTAGAGACTTTGTCAATAAAATAAATCGATATGTATTTTGATGGATACAACAAAATATAATGTTCATTTGTATATTCTACCACTATTACAATTCGTAACTGATCGTATACTGTTCAAATTAGTACTAATACTGAGTATACATTATATAGATTTAAGTGCAAATTATGAATGTTGGATCAGAGAACGCAAAACATCAATATACTACTTACATAAGATTTAAGGCTATAAATAAACGAGACGAAAATATGTATTACGCGATAATATAGACTAACGAGAGAGAGAAAGTTATCAAAGGACGAAAAACGATGATTAATAGCCGTCTTGTTACAAGCTTAAAAACAAATGAAGAGAGACAAACAGAGTACGTCAGTTTTTATTCTATTTTTTTTCCTAGTACTCATCATCAATGTACAAAAATATTGAAATAGGAGCTTTCGTCACGAAAATTAAACGATAGATAGTAACATATATTAGATGCAAAATGATATGTCAGTCTCGCCCATTCATTATCGCAGTAATTTTTCTCTCTCTGCTACTTAAGAAAAATTTACCTGTAGATTATGTTCGTGATAGAGAATATCTCATATGAAAACAAGCAAACAACCAGGTGAAGAGAGATGTAGTACATGTAAACGATGCGTTACATGTAAACAAAGTATCATTCTTAAGGAACTTGTACCGTTCACGTTGTTGCTTTTTCTGTTCATGTGAGGAAGGTTGGCAAGTTTATAGGCATTTTAATTCTCTTCCTTTCATTATTTAATTGAAAGTTTTAGTACTACTGCAGAATAGGAACACCCACATTATTTTATGTATACAGAACAGAAAAAAAAATCTATTGGTGCAACACATAATCAGTATATTGTGAGGATGGGGGTGTTCCTATTCTGCAGTAGTACCAAATGATGTTATGATCGATCTAAAGTTTTTCTCATCTGATTGATTTTTTCTTTTGTATTACCGTTTACAGTCCTTGACCCAAGCAGACAAAAAGTTGGGAAAACGCGTTTAAACGCACAAAAGGAAACCGCGATTGTGAGTCATTAACGCTTATTAAAAAAGCGCAAGAAAACGCGTGTA